ATGATCATGCAAAATATTGAATAAAATATTAGGATTTAGGACAAGTGTATACTGAATTATTAAACTAATGTGAATAAGATGTTTTAATGTTTTTTTTTATAAATATAAAGTCAGCCTCTTACATCTGGAGAAATAACCCTTATACAAGAAGTAGCTGCAGAGAGATATGCATTTCGGCCATTAGGTGTCAGTTGCAGGATCGGTATGTTATGGACTTGCTAAATTTTCTTGGTTTAGCTTCGAGTAAGCCCAGCAGAAAAGATACATATGGCAGTGAGCAGATATAAGTGCACAAGCAACATACATCAAGATTTATTTTATCATATGAGGAGTCATGTTTTTATGATTAAAGCATAAAATTAAGATACTACTTGCAAATGCCCACCAGATGGTGCTATACTTATATATGCTGCTAATGTGTACAGTACTAGTACTACTAGTGGACATTTAGGCTCTTACTAGTAGCACTAGTAGTACTAGTAGCACTAGTTGCACTAGTTGCACTACTAGCACTAGTTTACTAGTAGCACTAGTACTACTAGTGGACATTTAGGCTCTTACTAGTAGACTAGTGCTACTAGTGCGACTAGTGCGACTAGTGCTACTAGTGCGACTAGTGCTACTAGTAAGAGCCTAAATGTCCACTAGTAGTACTAGTGCTACTAGTGCGACTAGTGCGACTAGTGCTACTAGTAAAGGCCTAAATGTCAACTAGTAGTACTAGTACTGTAGACAGTATATGTACGTATAGCACCATCTGTGGGCATTTGCAAATAGTACAATTTTTAACCTTTACTGTACATGATAAAATTAAATTTTTAGGGCTCATTTATACAATGGAGTAGAGCCATCTTAAAGAAAAAAAGAGAAAATATTAATCTTGTATATGTACGAGAATAAACATGTAAATTTAGGAGAATAAAAAAATGATGAAAGGAGAACCCCTAAAGCATTTTCCTCTGCCACAAAAGAGACAGTTTCATCCAAGTCAGTGTGGTTTTTTCTTTGGAAAATTACAGTTGCTTCCAGTATCTTTTCAGGGTCCTAATATTTTATGACAATGTGATGATGATGTGCTGATAAAACAACTTATCGGATATATTTGTCAAACTGTTTTTACAGACTACACAAGGAAGGAGCCTATTTCCTTATTTGTCAAACCTTTACTATAACAAGATGCTCCACGTTTATCATTTTCGAACAGGCGGCTCCTGCTCTTCTGATATACCAATATATTCTACTATTATATTATATAATATATTATATGTTCAAGTATTCAGCTGTTTTATGAAGGGAAATGTTTAAACTATTTAAGAAAATACTAAAGGGACTTTGTCTCAATCATAAACAGTGTAGAGTATTTTAGTGTTTTTAGTTTTTTTATTTTTAGTCTCAAATGCAGCCTCAAAGGCTGATGTAGCTGCAACTAAACCTGAGATGAAAGATAATCCATTTATTGTTTTAAAATGAACCTGTATGAGCTTAAATATTAGATGTTTTAGTCTCTGTTTGTTTACCTATTAAATACTGAAGCTTCTAACTGAATCTTCTTGGTTTTAAGTATTTATTTTCACACATCTGAGATATGTTAAGTTGCAGCTGCTTACAAGACCCAACTTCCTCATTCATCTGCTTCAAAATAAAAGCACATCACATAGATGGTAATAAGGGACTTTTATTGTGAAAGACTTTCCGGAACTAAATGCGTTTATCACTCGGAGCTGCAGCGGCGATTGTAGTTGCGAAGGCTGTAGTGAGAAAGAGTACTCAGCCACTTCCTTGCCCAAGAGTTAGAGCCACAGCCAACTTATTTGAATCATCTTGGACTTAAGACAATGAGACATCAGTTTATAAACACCTTCAGCAGGTAGACCCACAGTAGTGGAGGTGCTTATCCGTGCTAGCTGAAGTGGCACCGAGCCAAGAAAAGGGTCTCTGTCTGTCTGTCTGTCTCTCTCTCTCTCTCTCTCTCTCTCTCTCTCTTTCTCTCTGTCTCTGTCTACGACTAGTGCTACTAGTGCGACTAGTACGACTAGTGTGACTAGTGCTACTAGTACGACTAGTGTGACTAGTGCTACTAGTACGACTAGTGCTACTAGTGCAACTAGTAGCACTAGTAAAGGCCTAAATGTCAACTAGTAGTACTAGTACTGTAGACATTAGCAGTATATATACGTATAGCCCCATCTGTGGGGCATTTGCAAGTAGTACAATTTTTAACCTTCATTTTACATAATAAAATTACATTTTTAGGGCTCATTTATACGATGGAGTAGAGCCATCTTAAAGAAAAAAAAAGAAAATATTTGAGATTAATCTTGTATATGTACGAGAATAAACATGTAAATTTAGGAGAATAAAGTCATAAATTTACGAAAATGTACATTCATAGAGAAGCCTTCCGCCTGCGCATAAATGATGAAAGGAGAACCCCTAAAGCATTTTCCTCTGCCACAAAAGTTACAGTTGCTTCCAGTATCTTTTCAGGGTCCTGATATTTTATTTGTGATGATGATATGCCGATAAAACAACTTATCGGATATATTTGTCCAACTGTTTTTACAGACTACACAAGGAAGGAGCCTATTTCCTTATTTGTTAAACCTTTACTATAACAAGATGCTCCACGTTTATCATTTTCGAACAGGCGGCTGCTGCTCTTCTGATATAGACTTAAACAAGAAATTAATCTCGTACATTTTACTTTATTCTCATAAATTAACTATTTGAATCTCTAAATTTTAGGTTTTTTTCCTTTTACGTGGCCCTAATCTTGAATCCCTTTATTTTTCTTAGTTTACCGACTTTAGGCCAAATTAAAACGTATTAAGTACAAGAACATAAATTCTGTATCAAGTTCCAGTTGTTTTAAAGTCCATAATTTTATCTGATTAACTTTTTTCCTTTTTAAAAACAGCATGAATTTATATGAAATATTTACACATTCATTTTTAACTTACAATTGCACCTTGGGCAGTTTTTTTATCACTCTACTGACCTCAAGATGTACTCTTTCTTATGTTTTCTGTAAATACTGTCTTGATGGGATAAAAAAGGAAAAAGAAAATCATGAGAACAGTTCTAAAATGATCTTCTATCTTATTTTAAGTTTATAAAACAATTCTAACATTTAATATATATATAATTTTCATGTTTTACTCTCCATGGAAAGTAAGGAAGAAGCCGTTGCTTCACAGCACTTGCTCCTTCTTACAAAGGGTTAAATTTGTGGAAGGTGGAGGTCTATATGGAGAACCAATGATAAGGTTCAGAGAGTGCCCTGATCCCACCCACTCATTAGCATGTACTTCAACCAGTGTTTCTAGTACGCATTTTGGCTTTCACTAGTAGTACTAGTTAACATTTAAAACCGTAGTAGTTAACTAGTTATGCCAAAAAGAGTACTACTAGTGTAACTAGTGACATTTTGGCTCTTACTAGATAACTAGTTAACCATTTTGAGCCTCACTAGTTCACTAGTAGCACTAAAATGTCCTGAACTAGTGTTACTAGTTGGCTTTTTGCACTAACTAGTTAACTAGTGGACTTTAAGAGCCTAGTAAACTAGTAAAATTTGTAACTGCATCACTAGTGATACTAGTGGACATTTGGGTCTTACTAGTTAACTAGTAAACATTTTGAACCTCACTAGTTTACAAGTAAGGTTAAAAAGAGTCAAACTAGCTTACTAGTGGACATTGTTGCTCTTACTAGTTAACTAGTAAACATTTTTAGGCTCACTAGTTAACTAGTAGACACAAAATATATCTTACTAGTTAACTAGTAGATATTTTGCACCTTACTAGTTAACATGTAGGACTTTTTGCCTTCTACTAGTTTACTAGTAAGTCTTTCAACGTTCTACTAGTAAACTAGTGCGGCCAAAGACTTGACTAGTACAGGAAACTGAGCTTTGATATCAAGGATATCTATTAAATCTTCAATCGGCTTTCCATACAGTTCCCTAATAAGCACAAGCTTGAATGTGCATGCATGAAATTATTATCTGCCATATTGTAACAGTTCTATGGAAGCGATTAGTGATCAGAATTCAAATGATAAAGCTAATTTGAAAATTAAAATACATTAAAAGAAATGTTTTTTTAATTTCAGAATATGAGTGTATTATTTGACTCAAAAATAAAATGATGATTAATTTATCTAATTTGAATTTTAGTTTTCAACTTCAAAAATGCACATTCATTGACTAAATTAAAATGAGGAAGAAAATGACATTTGCTTTATCATTTTCAAAAAATGCCCGCTAAATTTGTGTCATAATTCAAATGAAAAAGCTAATTTTAAAATGAAAATGCAGTTTGCATTATACTTTTACTCTCTATGTATGCATATTGTATGACATAATTCAAATGAAAACTAAAAGGTCTTTGGCTTTTCGTTTTCAAACTTGCCGTGCTAAAAAGTGATCATAATTCACACCAACTCGAAAATTAAATGGTAAAGTGGACGGCGCAGGAAAGTGATGTCAGACTTCAAATGAAAATGGATTTTAATTTTCAAATTAGCTTTATCATTTGAATTCTGATCACTAATCACTTCCATATCTAGGAGCCACCAGGAAAGTGTTAGCACCTAGCACAGACAGAGATACATGTGGCACTATGGGAGAGTCTTTGAACCACAGGGATCCATATGGGAGTAACCAGGAAAACGCGTTTCAGGGAACACCAGGCAGCCCGGAGGAGAGCCAGACAAAACCAGGGTTGCAAAGACAGAAGTTGTGGTCAGGGACAGAAAGCTGAGGGATTTCTGAGATTAAAACAAAGCAGGAAGGCAGACAATGAATCAGTTAAAAAAAAGTGCAAGAGAGTCTTGCATGGGATAACAAAGAACAATCTAGAAAAGAGTGAGTGAACATACTGGGTTTGATTGGAGGCAGCTGTTTGCACAGGTGAGCAGAGTTAGTTGATGAGGTAGGAGTAGCTGGCTCTTACTTACATTAAATGTAGGATAGAATATACTGTATATTATATCAAGCATAAGCAAATAAAAAGATGGAAAATAAACATAAATCCAGTGTCCATTTTGTCTTCAACTCACTGCCCCCAATTATTTCCTTTTCCAGATTTCTAGAGTTAATTCAGGAGAAGTTCCAGGATGTGACTTTGTCCCCTGGATGGATGGTAATGTTTGTCCACGGCCTAAAACACTTTTGGTTTGACTGGTAACCTTATCACATGACATTGTTTCTGATTGACAGGTGGCCTATTCTCCCCCACTTTTCACTCAAACCTACACCAGACTCATGGTGGAAGACATGTATGACATGATCAAAGATGTCCCCCAAAAGGTAAGCTTTCAAAAGACGGGCATGAAATAACAAGGTCATGTTGTTTCATTAAAGCTGGGGAGGGCAACTTTTTGAAAAACGTGCACGAGTAAGTTAAACAATTTGAAACAACAAACCAGGAGAATGTTTAATCCACTCCCCACAAACACACACAGGAGCTCACTGCCTCCCTGGTGTTGCAGAGAGGGTTCACTGGACTGTTGGGATGAGGAGCACAGAGGAATAATCCTTCCTATCCTTAACTATGTTACTAAGCATGCCATCTATAGCTAGTGGAAAATTGCAGTTAGTTGTACTGGATACCAGCATAAAAGACACAACAGATACATTTTTATTTATTTATTGTTTATTTTTTACAGCTAATTTAGCTAATTAGCATCCGTTGTCCCCGGGCAGGTAAACAAATAATAAATAGCAGGAAGTACATCATCTAAAATAACAGAATAACAAAAAAGTCAATTTGTGTAACATTACACTTTATAATAATAATATATAATACATATATATACATATATATATACATAATATATCAGATTAAATCCATAAATATTAACAAACACTGCATAAAACACTATTAAAATCAGCTATTCTCTCAGAAGTGACTGTAACTGTTCTTATCATATCTCACGTGTGTTTTATCACACGTTTCTAAATGCTGGTTCAAGTGAGCATTTGCTTTGATTGAGAAAGCTCTTGTGTTGTCTGTTCACCGTGATGTGTTTTATGTCATGATGCAGCAGATTCACTGTAGCAGGAAGTGAAAGACGTTCCAGCAGTAGAGAGAGTTTGATGTCTGAAGTGACAGATACCTCCACACTTCTCTTTACAGATATAATACAGTCCTGCTGAAGTAACATCAACACTGTACTTATTTCTTCATAGTCATAAGAACAAGATATCAGAGTGAGATGATGCCAGTATCTGATCATTACACCTGTAGTTGATAAGGTATGAATTCTGTAATAAAACATGAAGTACAATTTTCTTCTAGGTGACGTTTCCAGTCCATGCCCTGTTGGTTCAGAGAGGCTGGCAGCACATCAGCTGGCTGCTTAGTCAGTCTCCACGGTAACAAAGACATTTTAAATCTATATCTTAGCAATAACCTTAGATCGATCATAATCATAGTGACCTATGCACAAAGACTTCATATTCATGAATAAACCCTCATGGTCCGGAGGAGGTGCTCAGAGAAGCAGACTGTTGAACATGAAATCAAGGGGGAGGTCTGTTTATACTTTAGATAGAGGACATATTCTCCCCCTTCTCCCCCTTTTCAAACAGTCCCCTGTGGTCTAAATGAAACATCTGTGCTGTGCTTTGGTCAAAATATAACATGAATCAAGCACCAGAGGAGGTTTGTGACCCTGTATAAACCAGCTCTCTCAGAACGCTCCGTTTTGGTGTGTATGTCTCTTTAAATGCGAGTTTTCCCAGTAGACATCACTCCTCTGTAGAAAGAATAAAAATGGCCGACCTGCGTTAAAGTTTTACTCTAGTCTGGGGGTGGAGTCCATGGGTGGAGATACCTGGGGAGGGGATTTTTTTTTACCAGAATCCCATTGTGACATCACAAGGAGAGCACATTTGAAACAGAGCATTTTTCTCTGTGTTGTAAGACTTATGCAGACCACAAACAAAGGACTGGATGTGTTTATTTCACATTGTGAAAATGGATTATTCATAATAAGTCCCCTTTAAGTACTATAATGCTATAGTGCTTGGTGCTTTGTAACACTCTGACTGTTTTGTTGTTGTGGTTTGGTTTCCAGGTTCAGTCTGACGTTGTGGCAGGGTTCAATTCACCCAAACATCAGTGACCTGCTGTTTGTTCGAGACAACTCCTACCCTGCCAGAGTCTACTACGACATCTATGAACCGACGCTGTCTGAATTCAAACAGGCCGCAAGTAAGAAAGGAGCGGTTTGATATCAACCAATGGTGAATGCATGCTAAATGAAGCTAAGCTAAACAACAAACACTGTTGGTACATAAAAGCTGTTTTCACATACTGCACTCCTGAACATTTCTAGAAAGTCAGGTAGATTGCCACTGAAGTCCTCCTGAGTTGGTGGTTCATACATGAGAGTGTGTGGAAAATCTCTCTGGGGCTGGCAGGAAAAGTCTGAGTAAAGTTAGAGTGAAACATTGAAGTGAAGACGCTGGACGAAAGGAGCCCACACTGCTGAACTACACTGTCGTAAACAAAAAAACAAAAAAAATCAGTTTGATCAGCAGAGAAGAGCAAAAGAAAGCTGGTATCACTCGCTAACTCTTTCTAAGTCTTGAAAGTTAAAAGATTTTCGATAAATGTTCTTCACAGGATTGTATATCTGTCTGTCCACTTTGATTTATGAGATATGTATTCCCCTCTTTGAAATCAAATAATTCTTAAAAATGTGAACTGTTAGGTTTCACACAGTTTTTTTAATCTCACTAAATCAATTTGTGTCTGTCAGTCCAAAACTTTTGAAGCCAAAGTTTCAGAATTTCCTCAAGATGTACCTCACATAAAACCACTTCAATCAGGAGAGACAATTAAAGAAAACATTTTTATAACAAAAGGAAACATGGGAGTGTGTTTGGGCTGATGACATGTTAAACATCTAGTTGTTGCAGTTTCATGTATGAAAAGTGTCCACAGGGCAGCAGGGTCGGGTCAGGAGATTCTATCCTGGAGGAGACCTGATGGACTTCCTCTTTCCTGCTCACACCTCAGACCTCCACTTCATGTCAACAGTCACACAACACAACAGTGAGGAGGTCCGCTGGTTTACAGTCAGAGATTTGCCTTCCTTGATGGTCCAGCTTACAGGTACAGGAGCACTTTAAGTATGTTCAACCTTTAAAGGAGGACTAACAATGCACTGATCATTAATAACATTATGACCTCCTGTTCCAATCCAATCTAACAGCTCTACCATAAACTCCACTCCATTTTTTTCTTATTTTTTTTGCACTTTATTTTTGAAAGAGAATTAAATGTTGTGTTTGAAACTCAGTTATTCAGTCAAACAAGGAAGAGGTCATCTTTCTATGTGACGCTATGAAGTTTGATATGGCAACACGAACAAATCTGAAGTCACAGTAACAAATAAATATCAAACATTTACCTTTGAGCTGTTTGACTTTAGTTTGTGATCCCTAACTACTTCCTGTTTCTGAGCTAACTGCTTCCTGTTTGCAGGACAAAAAAAGTATAAACAGCAGAAAAAAGAGAAAGGTCTGCACATTGTTCCCGATGAGCACTTGTCGTGTCTACCTTTTCCATCTAGTCTCTAACCCCTGTGCTCTGTGAGTCCAGGTGCTGCTGCTGGTATGTTGGTAGTTCAGGTGTCTTCTGACAGTGAACCAGCTGGAGTCCCTTTGGTGGAAGGTTCTGGAGAGAGCTCCCTCACACTGCAGGTAATTTAACAGCTTGTTTTTAGGCTTTTCTAGTTCTTACATTGATTTCATTTATGCATCACATTGCTGCAGTAACTCGTGTGTTTCAACAGAAAGGTTCAGTTTTTATGGCTGCAAAACCCATTTTAGGATCCAATAATTGGGGAAATGTGCAGGCAGAGGGTCAATAATCAATCAATCAATCAAACTGTTATTTTACAGCTCGTTATGAATGGATGACTGGCTCACAGCACAGACTTATTGTACTTTAGTGCAACACGTCATTTTCTTACACGGAGCATACATGACCATCCAGACCTTCACATGTGGTGGCCGTACGTCTGTACAACACCTCACGGTTACGGCAGGGGGAAAGCACACAGTGACTCTTGGACTAAATCTTCTTTTTTCCATTTCCCATCTGCACAGCTGTCCCAAGAGTCAGCCTCTAGTTGGACACTTTAATACTAATCTCAGTTATTTAAATCGCACCTCTAATGTTTGCACTGACTGTTATTTAATGTCTGTTTTTTGATAATTTTCTTCTTTTTAAACATTGCTAAAAAAAAAATTGATTCATCTAGGGGTATTCTTTAAATCTTTTTTTCAGGTTAATATATATATATGTATGGGAGGTGGGGGCGTTGGTTTTGTGGTTAATTTGTAACAAATGTTTCATGTCATGTACGTCTTTGTAACCTGCTACTGGATGCTTTGAATTTCCCTCGGGATCAATGAAGTATCTATCTATCTATCTATCTATCTATCTATCTATCTGTCTATCTATCTATCTATCTATCTATCTATCTATCTGTCTATCACTGAGGCCTTTCTGTGTTCATGTGTCTGCAGGACGTCCTGTTGCTACTCGGGCAGAGAGCTGAGGCACCCTGGGGTGTTCACCTGCGGATCTGCACTCAGCAGCTTCTGGAGGCTTCTCTCAAACTGTTGCATTCCGCCTACAGCAGAGAGGAGCTCTACAGGCCAGTCTGGATCAGCATGGAGGGGGTACAGAGCAACACACAGGTATGAAGAGCTTCTCCATCCTCATCGTCCACCCTGCACTCAGGCCTTGTCCTGAGGCGCCCTGCTGGTTCATTATCTTTACAGACCTTAATGAGGTCATGATTATCAGAGAGGTTTTTTTTCGGCTGTATTAAACAACAAGGGTAAGAACACAACAGGAGATAGGTTGTCTTTGTAGTCCAGCTTCGGTAGATTGTAGTTTTCAGCAGATCCCTTCATTCAAGATTCAAAAAACTTTATTGTCTATCACATTGTGACAGAAAATGACCTTTTGTTGAGGCTCAGTAACATGAAAACATACAAACATTCACACTAACACTCACATTAGGTCATAAATAGGTAAAAGTACCATAAATAGGTAAAAACACATGCACAGCATTTACAAAACATACACAAATGCATATTGCAGTGGGAATAAAAGAGTTTCTGTAAGTTTTCTTTTTCACCAGTGGTACTCTAAAACGACTGCCTGAGGGGAGCAGCTGAAACAAGTGGTGAAGGGGGTGTGAAGGGTCCTGAGTGATGCAGACTGCTTTGCTTTCTGCTGCTCGCATGTAAAGTTCTGACAGATGGATCTAGGTAGTGCTGGTGATTTTTTTGGCATGTTTAATGATACCAGTACATTTTTTCTTGCATTTTTCATATTTTCATATACATTTATACCCCGCCGATGAAGCAGAGGGAGCAACTTGGGGTTAAGTGTCTTCACAAGGACACATCGGACATGTAGCTGCAGGAGCTCAAACCCCTTGACCCAGTTGATAGACGGCCGACTCTACCACTGAGTCACAGCTGCCCTGTCCGTGCTGTCACACTCCTTCATTGGTTGTCTTATCTTCTTCATCACACCTTTCCTTGTCCCTGTGTTGTGTTTCATCAAGGACAAGGAAAAGTGGAGAGGACTTACAGTAAGGGGTCATTTTTTGGACTTTTTTGAATGTACCCATGGTTTGCCTCGGTATATCCAATATGATGCTGTCTGACCACCTGTTGCTTCAAAACATTTAAAATAAAACATGTCAACACATTCAGGGGACGAGAGCTTCAGAGTAAACTGTCTTCTGATATCATGACTATCATAGAGTTCAGGGTATTTTCAGGTGAATGTATTTGTGTAAACACATTACAGTAATTAAAGTATTATAGTTCAGTAAAAGCCCCTAAACTGTGGAACAGCCTCCCTCATTCCATCAGGTCTGCACCCTCTGTTGACTCTTTTAAGTCCTGTCTCAAGACATACTTTTATATTTTAGCATTTGAGTGGTCCTGAATAGACCGTTTCTTTCAGGTTCCTTTGTTGCTTTCTTTATATATTCTTTCTTTATATATGTATACATATATATATTTCTCTGTTGTGGATGTTGTGATCTCAAGTTGTTTTTTCTTTTTTAATGTATTGTACAGCACTTTGGTCAGCTGTAGCTCTTTTTTAAATGTGCTTTATAAATAAATATGACTTGACTTGACTTATAACGTGTCCTCTCTTTCAGGAGTTTGTATCCACTGTGGAGAGGCTGTTTCCCTACGTCACCCTCGTCCATCAGGAGCAGAACTGGCCCCCTCAGGTCCCAGCGACACTGAGCACCGTGTCTCAGAGGGTGGCTGTACATCTGAACACACTGCCACACGGACGGGAGGGACTTAACTCTCTGAAGAAAATGATGGACAGATATGACCTCATTTTAGAGGAGGACACAAAACACCCTGCTGGAGCTTTTAGAGACTTCAAAAGACTGAAGACGGAGCAGAGAGGGGGAAGAAACACAAACCTGTACATGATATCTGACCCCTCCTGACTGAGCAACCCAAAACTACAACACTCAAAGAGGAACATGTCCCTATCTTTTATATACAATCACTCAGGTACCTTCTGTTGATCATTCTGTCATTTAAGATGCAAAAAGTTTTAATTAATGTTGTTTATCTTCTTTAGTTTGTTTCCTTTGCTTGTCTTTCTTTCTTATTCTTTGCTGTTGTTGAACTCAACAGCCATCTTCTCTCTGTATGACCCTGTCACATTTTAATTCATGTTCAATTGCTTTGCACAATACAAAATAAACTTTCAAGGTCTGGACTGGAGGTTTGGAGTTGTCTGGAAATTGGGTTGATTATTTAACTTTAAAAAATCATCTCCAGGTTTTCTCTTTCGATGTTTGACCAAGTGGCGTCCTCCGGTGTTGAAAAATGAAGCTAGATCTGCTGTCATTTGTTCTTCTACTCATTGTATCATTGTGTCTGTGATGTGTCTTAGTGACTCTCTTTTGTTGTCACTTTTTCTCCTGTCATGATATATAAATTTAAAAAAAGAAAATAAAAAAATCCTGCAGTTCCTTGAGTGTCCACTAGAGGCTGGCTGCAGAAGCAACTGAAGTCACATACACACCCATTCAACTAAAAGCCTGTTTTTACAGCAGAGATGAACATATTTACAGCCTGGTGCTGATAACTGGTATCAGAGATATAAAACATAATGGCACTAAAGAGCGAAGCTTCAAGGCTGTTAAATGTTTTTTTAAATTGGAACCATACTGATGTGAAATGTATCCTGCCATCACTAATCACAGTCAGGTTCTGAGGTGACATAAGGCAGGTGTACCATTATGTAATGTACTCTATGATATCAGTCCTTAAGTCAAATCAAACAGAGGAAACACATTTATTAAAATAAAAAAGTGTTTATTGAAGTCTTATGAAAGCATTGAATAAAAAAATCATGTTATCAACAAAGGACTGATGTTGCTTTGTGCAAACAGCTGTTTTTCTAAATGAACCGCACACCTCAGTAAAATACAAAAAGACATCTTTGCTTTTAAATGTTTAATTTGTGTTCACTCCGAGTTCAAAAAAATCTTAAAATTATTCTGGTTCATTATGAGAGTTGGCACTAAGTGTCTTTGTTCCTATTATTCTATCATTAAATCACAAAACAAAAAGGACTCAGAAGTTTGTATACAAGTTTCGTCCTCTGATTTCTGTGACTGAATAAATCGTACCATGTCGTTACAGTGGTTCTCAACTGGTGGGTCTGGACCCAAAAGTGGGTCGCAAAGCAGATTTCAGTGGGTCGCGAAGTTGTGCCTGGAAGAAAAATGGTGTCAAAAAGTCTAAGAAGCACTTTGTTAACTTTCTCTGTTCTATCACACTTTGTACCGTCTGATGGTGTTTCAAACAAATCAGGTTGATTGAAAAAATGTCTGACATGGTGGGTCCTGAGGGTCAACCATTTGAGAACCACTGATGAAGTATAAGAGATTGATCCGCTCTCATCTCTGTGATGGAAACATGTCAGCACAGTTCCTACAGCTGGGTGCTGTGGAGGGCCACTGACAGGCTGTCAGCTTCGTCGTCACAGGTGGGACTGTCTGTGCTCGAGTCTGGGTTTTGGCCTGTTGGCATAAAGGGGATGGAGGGCAGTCTGTTTCTCGTCAGGTATTGGCTGCAGGAGCAGAACGTGTGGTAGAAAGACGAGGAGAGGCCGGCAATATCTGTGGAGATGTATGGAAGAACCTCTGGAGACGCCTGGTTATAGTAACTGATCTGGGAAAGAAATAAAAGTAAAGTTTAGTTAGGACATGTAGATGTAAATCAAGCAGAGAAATAACTAAAGTAAAGTTTAGTTAGGACATGTAGATGTAAATCAAGCATTTAATCTGATAAAACCATTATTGGTCTTACTAGTGACATGTTGTTTTTGGTCTCCAGGATGGTGAATCCTGCACACAGAACCTCTCCTCTGTGATATTCTTCAGTAGGAGGGTGAGTGGGCAGAGACACTGAACGCAGAGCGATGACATATGGATCTCTAAAGGAGGGAGAAATTAATGGATGGTTATTCCTGTAGCACTGTGCAGTAACACCCCCCGCCCCCCGGACCTGTCAATGACATCAGCCAGTCGGCCAGTGAACTGACCCGCTGCCACACGGCTTCCTGTTAGAGGCCAACAAGATGAAGTCCTGAAGAACACCTTCTCCCTGACAGGCTGAGTTAGAGGAGCCTACTCCACCCTGATGCACTGATGGAGTCACCACGTGATACAAGGAGTCATCATCGTCGACCGGGTAGATCAGCTCACAGTTTCTGATTTGGAAAAGAGAAAAGAGAGACAGTGGTGATAGAAATGTCTTTAAAGGAAAGTGACAGTATGTTGGCTGTTAGAGATGTAGTAACACTCTCCCTGTTATACACTGTATGCATACATGTCATGTAGACAGACTAGAGACACATGTTAGTGTTAGTGAAACATGGTGAAGTGTATCTTGCATAATGTGACCTGTAAAGAAATCTCAAATGGCTTTCTGCCTTTTGTTTCTTTCAGAGAAACACGGATGAGTGTTGGATGACCTGTTCATTGTCTTAATAGTGTGAGATGCTAAAAGTTCTTTACTTTGTTTTTCACAAAATTGGTGAAGTAGTTCTTACATTATACATTAAAGGCTTTATATGTGATTTTTTTGATCCAGCAGATGTCGCCCTTGAGCACCAGCATGAAACCAAAACAACTTGCGCTGCATTGTTGTGTTAGCATGCTAATGCTAGTGATCTTTATTATGCTCGTATCTTCACACTGCATGTAAATTTACCTGAAATGAGCATGATCTAGAAACACAGTTAAGCAGTGAGTACAGTATGTTATTCTTCTTTTCTCTAGTCCCTCAATTAAACAACTTTTATACAAGAGGGGAGGAGTCAGCCGGCCGTCCTGGCGATGTAAACAAAGTGAAGATAGGACTCTGAAAACTCTGAAAGCATCACAGACAGTGGGACTCGGGTGTTACACCCATTGTAGACAGTCATGTTATTTTCAGAGGATATACTTGATTTCTATTATATTTAAGTGTGTCAAATCACATAGAAAGCCTTTAACATTTATACAAGCAGTGCAGGTTGTCACGCTGAAGAGAAATGTGTGAGCATTACTGATAATGTTTATCCCAGGTGGGTCTGTTGCTCAGCTCAGCCAGCAAACAGAAGGCTCTTTGAGCAGGAATGTCCACCTCTGATTCCACCCTGATACTCAACGTGGACTTCTGCTCCAGGGTGTACAGACGAACCTGGGGGGCACAGAGCAGAATTCAGGTCCTCGGGGGGGGGCAGGGGGAGCAGGTTGAACCACTCGTATACATAAAACAAAGATTCTCCCTTCTCCTGAGGGAACAGTACTTACTTTGTCTTTCTCAGAGCTGACGCGCCAGTTTTTTTTGGCAGCCAACATCTTCAGAGCTGAAACATTGTTATAGCTCAGATACACCTGGAAAAATACACGCACGCACGCACGCACACACACACGTATAGTAAATATATGCATTCAAAACGTCAGATGTAGTCCAGCCTGCTGTGATGTTTGGATTAAAAGCAGCTGTCAGTGCTTTACTCACAGCACACGTGTGACTGTCTGTGGGATTCCTAAACATTTGTCTCACCTGGTTTCTTGGATCCCAGGGGACAGACAAAGGAACTTCACCCTGCTTGCGGGAAATGATGTACTTCCTGAAACAAGAGACGCAGAGCACTGTTTGCACTGTGACACTTGAAGCACAGGACATTAAGATGGGAAGGAAGTACTTCACCCCACACCTCACAGACTAAATGGACAGTTGACCACCTCACAGTGCAATGCAAGTGTGCAATATTAACCTTAAAAACAAAAAACAGTGCAATTATATAATGTGAAAAATATGTGTGCAATAACCTCAGGTGCAACAAGAGATAATAAGTGGAATAAGAAAACATATTTATATTTTCATTTCATTGTACAGTGTTCCCCTTTGTTATTTTTAATTTTTGTATTATATCTTTGCTTTAATACAGTGTATAGCTTCTGTACAGTTTATTTTAAATCACTTAGCTGTTAATACAACTTATTTATTTTTACTTTTACTGTTTTGTACTCTTTTTTTCTTACAATGCTATTCTATTTTATATATCATTTTAACTTTTTTTGTAGAAGCTGACTCAGGGAGAAACGCACAAGAATTCCAATCGACCTGTACTGTCCTGTACCTGTGCAAATGGCAATAAACATCTATTCTATTCTGTTTACCGAGTGTTATGAGTCACATGTGTTTAAGTATAAGAGTTTCCTTTGTGGGCCTTGTTGTTGCTCGTTTCTTGTCTGTGTGTCTGTCTGTCTTTGTGCTGAGCTGCAGGTACCCGCCCTTTATTGGGAAAAGGCTGACGATGCGCGCCAGTCGGAAGCTGGTGCTGTGTGCCTGCGCGTTATTGGTGGATAGCTGAGGGCGCCAGTTTTAAAAGGGAGCTGGAACACCGCTCATCTTGCTCCTCACCTCCAAAGAGACAGATGTGTAACGAGAGAGAGAAAGTGTGTAATTTGTTTATTGAGATTTATTTGAAGAATTTCCTCGTTTCTCTAAGCAGTCTGGGTAGAGTGTAGGGAAGAGCAGCCATTTTCTTTTGATGAATCTTTTCTCCTGTTTTTCAGTGAGGGAGGTCGGTAAGAGGAATGTCTCTCCTTTATGTGAGATAAGGTATTTTGGTTATTTGACTAAGATGTGATGTTTATTATTTTATGAATAGTAAATAATAAATGAATGATTGTGGACCGCACATTTTTTTGATTGTGGCTCCTGAGGAAGGAGAGAAAGAAAGCTTACCTGTCCAATCGGATCTTCTTCCTGGCTATGGCTTCTTGAAACCGCCTTTTCCCTTCCTGTCAATGAAAGACAGAGAGGAAAAATAATCTATTCATTCAATAGATCCAACTTCAGATGCACACCAAAGATTTATTCCAATCCACTTTTTTGATAATCCTTTCCACAAAAAAACTAAAACAAATGAATAAACTGAAGAAATACAAAATAGTGGGCTGTAGTGGTCTCTCTGTCCCCTCACAGTGAGGAGGTTCCTGGTTTGAATCCCCGTCTGACAGGAGTCTCTCAGTGAGGAGGTTCCTGGTTTGAATCCCCGTCTGACAGGAGTCTCTCAGTGAGGAGGTTCCTGGTTTGAATCCCCGTCTGTCAGGAGTCTCTCTGTGAGGAGGTTCCTGGTTTGAATCCCCGTCTGTCAGGAGTCTCTCTGTGAGGAGGTTCCTGGTTTGAATCCCCGTCTGACAGGAGTCTCTCTGTGAGGAGGTTCCTGGTTTGAATCCCCGTCCTTCAGGAGTCTCTCTGTGAGGAGGTTCCTGGTTTGAATCCCCGTCTGTCAGGAGTCTCTCTGTGAGGAGGTTCCTGGTTTGAATCCCCGTCTGTCAGGAGTCTCTCTGTGAGGAGGTTCCTGGTTTGAATCCCCGTCTGTGAGGAGGTTCCTGGTTTGAATCCCCGTCTGTCAGGAGTCTCTCTGTGAGGAGGTTCCTGGTTTGAATCCCCGTCTGACAGGAGTCTCTCTGTGAGGAGGTTCCTGGTTTGAATCCCCGTCCTTCAGGAGTCTCTCTGTGTGGAGTCTGCATGTTCTCCCTGTGCATGTGTGGGTTCTCTCCTGGTACTCCGTCTTCCTCCCACAGTCCAAAGACATGCTCGTTAGGTTAACTGCTGACTCTAAATTGTCTGTAGGTGTGAATGTGGCTGGTTGTCTGTCTCTATAGGTCAGCCCTGTGATTGGCTGGTCACAGGGCCAGGGTGTAACACCGCCTCTCGCCCAATGACAGCTGGGATCGGTTCCAGCTCCCGCTTCCCGAACGGGAAAAGCAGTAAAAGATAAAGGATGGAATACAAAAAAGTAGTTTATACATCAACCATACTCGATAGAAATGACTGGGAGTTAAAGAAACACATTAATAATAAAAAACATATACATCTTACTTTACACCAAACAATTTTTCAGGAGATTTTATTGTCTCAGATCATTTATCAATGTCTGATTAAGATCAACATGAGGTATGATTCATATATTCAGGGCGTCTGTGGCTCAGTGGCAGTTGCTTGGAGTCTGTATTTCATGTTTGACTTGATATCACAGTTTGCTCGTTGAATGTGTCGACCTGCTGATGGCAGACATGATCATTTCTTTGATTGGTCTTATATTGCTAACACCGCCTCATTCATGTGAACGCACTCACAGAAACTCTGGGTTTATTTATCGTGTTGATAACCAGCCTCGTGTGACCGCATAGTGGGATCTCATTTTTTCGGGTTAATTAAAGTAACAATAGAGTTCCCTGGGTGTGTTGAACTTGCTTCATAGTACTGGTCTCTTGTGAACCCGTTGTTCTTTTGTGTCCCTGTTGATAACTATTGTTGGACAGAGACAGAAAAACAAGGTCATATAGACCTTGAGCTTGGGCTACTGAAATCGTATTAGATCATCTGTCTTTGATGAGTCTGTTTGTGACAGAAACTTTCTGTTGTAAATCTCTTAAAGTCTGAGCCAAAACAACCCAGAGAAGCTCCTGTCACAGAGGTAGTTCTTCTCAGACAGAGACTTCCCTCTGACCTCTGATAGAGTGATAAATCTACTTTCCTTCACCAGACAGTAGGGTGTTAGGTAACGTTATAGGTCCAAGAGGTTTCTCACCAAATGTAGCCTCGGGTCATGTCAATAAACTGAGTCAGATCACAAGTTAGTGGTAAATAAACTCACCTACACATTCACACACTGATGGCAGAGGCTGATATGAAAAGGGTCCATCAAAGGAACTTATCCCATTAATACACATTCACACAACACTGACAAAGCAGCTGGAGCAACTTGGGGTTAATTGTCTGTAAGCGGCTGCAGAAGCTGGGGATCAAACTCTGACCTTCTAGTTGAGAGACGATGGATCTAGCCACTGAGCCACAGCCATCCTGCAATTTATGTCTATATAAAGAATGACTCTTGATTTGCGCATGAGTCTGTGTATTGAAAATTCTTGTGTGACATCTTATTGAAACCAACCCCACCTCGTCTCTGCGGGTCTAAAGTCTGCTCACTCTTCTTTTATGAATACTAGTTTATCATTTACACATCTGAGCCCTGGATCATCGAAGGTGGAGAAGCATGTGGGATTGTGTTCTGCTTTCTAAGTGTGTGTTTTGGTTCATATTATCTTGATCAGACAAAACTCAGTTAGCATTTCTCATACATCATATCCAGTACTGATATTCTGGGATAACATTTTTGCTCTTTGAAATGTAGCTGCTTAGTAATACAAACCGAGGATGAAAATTGAAATCCAAACTTAAACAGCTTTTAATTCTCCTGGACCACAAACTCTAATCAATGGACCCACTGCTACTGGAAGAACTACAAGGTGTGCCAATGCACTGTAGCTCACGGAAACATCTGTAATAACTGCAATGGTTTTTATTTCGTTACAGTTAATCCATCTCAGATAAAAGGACTCTTATCTCAACATCCATTGTTAATCAACACCTACATACTGCCACTGAACTCTCCGTAGTTTGACTCTCACATGTTGGAGCAACACCAGGCCGCTCCTGAGGGATTACAATGATCAACATTTTCACAACAATAGTCTCCCCACTTGTTCAGTCAGGGAGAGTTCATGTGTGTGATCTTTGGTCCACCACACCTCGTTAAATGGTAAATGAACTTGAGCTTGTATATTTCTTTTCTAGTCTTCTAAATATACAAAGCACTTTTACACTGCAGGTCACACCTACACATTCACACACTGATGGTAGAGGCTGCTGTGTAAAGAGTCCATCAGTATTAACTCATCCATTCATACACATTCACACACTGATGGTAGAGGCTGCTGAGTAAAGAGTCCATCAGTATTAACTCATCCATTCATACACATTCACACACTGATGGTAGAGGCTGCTGAGTAAAGAGTCCATCAGTATTAACTCATCCATTCACACACTGATGGTAGAGGCTGCTGAGTAAAGAGTCCATCAGTATTAACTCATCCATTCATACACATTCACACACTGATGGTAGAGGCTGCTGTGGAAAGAGTCCATCAGTATTAACTCATCCATTCATAAACGGCAGATGAAGCAGCGGGGGCAAATTGGGGTTAAGTGTCTTGCACAAGGACACATCGGACATGTTGCTACAGGAGCTGGGAATTGAACCCCGACCCTCCGGTTGAGAATAGTTGACTTATCTTTAATCATAGCTGTAAAGACATTGGATGGATGCTGACTACAATCAGAATGAAAACAAACAAGTCAAAGTTCCTGCAGCAAGTGCGTCTTATTCTGCCGACAAACTCACCAGGGGTTCAGGTCGTATCCGTGGTAACGTGCGTGGCTTTCCATGGTCATCAAGCACCTCAAAAGTCATGAAGGCAGAGTTTATGTGTCGGTTAGGTCCCTCTCCCTTGTAGGCCACTGCACGCACCCCCACCTCAATGCTACAGAGAACACACACACATAAATACTTTTTTTTCTCTTTAATAATGAACATTTCTCGTGATCTGCTTCCTTCACACATTTCAGCCTTTTATAGCCTGAAGCTGATGTTGGACTTTGGGTAGGAAGCCCCTCACTACTATTCCAGAATATTTTACTTAACAATCAACAACTCACCTACAGTAAGTTTTCTCATTTATTTTACTTCACACTGCTTTTTTTTTCTATAAATCGACACTGTTTTCAATAATTCAATAATTCTACCAAACATGACATTATGTGATAAGTAAAGTGGAATCTGAGATGCTCTTGTAATTTATTGTGAACAAACAGACCTGTTTTTGAAGGCGTTGTTGACTATAGCCCTCAGAAGCAGTCTGTCTCCAACCTGAGAAGGTCCTCTGAAGGTGAACATGTCGATGGTCCGCAGAGTCGGGTGAGCCTGACACAGACGGCTGCGTAGGTAAAAAGAGAGAGAGAGAGATTGTTCAGGAGACTTGTTCAGAGACGTGTTCCCCTCAACTCTCACTTTAAAGAAATCATTTAGTTTAGTCTTAAATGTGGGCTCATATCAGTGCAGGATCTTGGGTCCTTTCCAGGGGAAATATATTCAACAGTTGGAGTTTACTTGATGTGACAGCAGATTCTGTTCTCCTGCAGAATAGCAGTGTGTGATTGGCTGCGACCAGGAACCAGAGATATTCATTCTTTATTAATCATTTTGTCTTGGTCAAAAAAAGTCAAGATAGTGAAAATAGCCAATCACACGTCCTCAGACCTAAAGATGTCATCTTTAAATGTCTTGTTTTCATTTAAACAGTTTAAGACACAAACATATTTGTGGTGAGTGAAAAGCTGTTTTCACTAGTTTTGACTGAAAATGGAGTATAAAACTGTTAACCATCTGTTACAGCTCGATCTGTCTATGGGCACATTCACACAGGTGTGTGTGTGTGTGTGTGTGTGTGTGTGTGTGTGTGTGTGTGTGTGTGTGTGTGTGTGTGTGTGTGTGTGTTTTTATGAAACTACTGGCTGGTTTTTGACAAAGATTTAGAGTTTTTGTGTTTTTGTACCTGGCAGCAATTGTAGCAACATTCACCATCCAGGCCATGATCTGTCCTCCGAATGTGTTCACCTGGTATTTTAACACAGAGACATGAGACATTCATCCATCGCTCAACACTATCATGTTGATTTGCCATTTTCCTTCTTCGTCTGCATTAATGGAAAAAGACTAAACACTGCGTGTCAGAAAAGAACATGTAACATATAAATACACCTAAAAATCTACTAAGGCATAGAGATACTTCTCAAAGTACACTCAACAAATTCAATAAAACAGCTTAGTTCAAAATGAAATGTGGAAAAAAAGGCTTGAAACACAACAAGTTCTTGTTCAAAAGAAAATCTAATAGTCAGGTGCCTTAGCTAAATGATGGATGGATTATACGCCGGACAAAAGCACTAGTTTTTTTCCACATCTTCTCTATCACCATAGCTTTCAATTTTTTGGTGGAGCTGCTAGAGGGTTAATGCGTGTGTTGCCTAGTAACCAAGTTGAAAAAGATGTAATCCAAATTTAACACATGTATTTGATCTTGGCACAAATAATCATCTAGTGATATTTCCAATAGCTTTAATGAATTCTTTGACCCAGAAAATGTTGACACTAAGATTGACCTTATAAGTGGCTTCGAAAACATATTATTGGCACTTTACATGGCCGCCATCTTGGAACCACTATCTTGATGAAGCGGCTCCCTCCAAAAATTGAAAGTTATGGTGATAGAGACTATATGAGAAAGATGTGGTGCTTTGTCCGGCGTGTCCCCCATTCTTCCCAAATGTGATCGTAAGCCGCCTGAATGAATCACCTGATGATTAGCGTGTGGCGGTAGAACCAGTTCAACACT